TATATATATATTCGCGAGACTTGACTATTAAGTTTTAACTGATGAGATTGTTAACTTTTCTCAGATGATCTATTTGCACCTGAGAAGGATGAGGATGTATTCAACAATAGTTCTGATAATTTGTTCAGCGACAAAAAGGGTCTCATTGACGAACAAGTATCTGCAAACTTGTGGAAAGATAAGCCAATCAAATCTTATAAGAATAGTAATATTATACCAGCCAGTATCGATGTACCACCACCAATAAGTATAGTTTGTAAGTACTTTTATATTCGCAATCTTCGAATGTTTCGTGATAAATTTGTCTTTTTAATTCGCCTATGTTTTTAGCGACGAAACCAAAATCAGCGATCGATGATCTGTTTGTCGATGCGGATTCAGAAGAAGATTCGGACGACATCTTTTCGTCGAAAAACGTTGTCAAGAAACGCACAAAAGAACCTTCCGCAAGTGATAACGCTTATTCTTCGAATGCAAAGAATGCGAATACAAAAAGATTCTTAGACATTGTAGCACCCGGAACTATTGGTAACATTGCCACGAGCACACCGGAATCCAACGTCAACGTCACGAGTTTGTTTAGTGATGATGAGAATGATGACACAGATTTATTTGACAATTCCACAAAACAATCTCATAAACCTGCAAACATGTCATCATCTACAAATACAGTTCAGGAGCAGAGTAAAAAGGTAAGATGCCGTAATATTTTTTATACAATTATAGAATCTATATTTGATTATTTTTTTTCTATCATATTTGATGTATTTCAATCAAAACGTTTGCAATAACAGCAAATGTTTTGATTGAAATACATCAAATATGGATGTTATTGCAATTTTATTACTTTAAAAAAATTTTTTATATAAATATAATTCTTATGGGAATATTTTTTTTATTTAATAACTTAAAAGTTTATAATATCACACTAATAACTTTCGAAGTGAAAAAAGTGAAAGAAAAATTGAAATTGTGATTATACTAAAATAAAAAAAAATTTTTGCAATTATAATATTCTATTTAATATTATAATATTATATAAATTAATATTATATATTATAATATATAAATATATATATTATAATATATAAATATTAATATTATATTAATATTATATAATAAAGAATAAAATTTATTTGTATATCTAAATAAAGGATAAAATTATAAATTGCAGAAGCCTCCTGTCGGTGGTCTATCAATATTTGGTAATGTTACGACGTCGGACATCGAGAACAAACTGTCGAGCCGAATAAAACAACGACGACAAGAGTCATCTGAATCATCTGATAGCGACGCGCCAGGAAATTCTGATAGCGCGACGAGAAGTAACGTTGAGTCAGTGAATCGTAGTTCGCAGAATCCTACGGCGAATGTATCTGCGATTATCGAGAATGCCACAACCAGCAGCAGTGGGATATCAATGCAACCGCCCAGCATCGATAATACAGCCGGATCCGGTTTATGGTAAGTCGTCACATCTCTTTCTTGTTCATTTAATTTCTTTTTCAGACTGACTGAAGCATTTTTTATTTAAGTATGCATACGTGTTCTAGTCGCCTATGTTTATGCTGAATATATAAAGATCGCTGCTTCCCTGATTTTATATAATTATATAAAAATCTTACAACTGTTCCTTTACGTCATATATTTTAAAATGACATACTTACATGATTCTTGGATTTTTAATGAAAAACTATAGATATTAAATCCATTCGAATATACAGGATATATTTTGAATAAGTACAGTGACATCAGCTGTGCATACTAAAATAGATGTTAACTGCTTAAATTGAATGACTCTTAGACTGTTAAATTATTTCATGAGTGGAAACATATCCGATGATATACGATACACCAACGTTTCTCGAGGTCAGCGCATAAACAAAAAGAAGAAGCGTGGCTTATTGCGTATTCACTCGCCGGATGCTAACATTGCATCCAGAATTGCGAACGAGAAGAATTGCCACGCTGTTTCTCCTAATCACATTCGAGAGTCTTCCGAGGAGAGTGGCTGGCGCAAGCTGAAAGGAGAATCAGTCCGGATTCCTTATTCTGCAAACGTAGACACGTGCCGGCGCCTCGCAACACAGTGTGCTAAATATTTACAGTGATTCGATGACCCAAGCAGTTAGTCATTCGCTTTGCCTATTACGCGATGATGACAAGTAAAAATATTGCGGCGAGTCCAAGGCGAGCTTCTTTTCAGTATGGCTAAATGTGTTGCCTGTCATCAGTTGTAGATTTTCGTACTTAGCCGTTCTATTCTCAAGGAATAACAATTGAGCACGCAAAAATACGTAAGTGATTTGGTTTAAGATGATTTAAAAAACAAGAGAAACAATTGCAAAGTACTTACATTTACAATCGTGTATGAAGATTTTTTTTATTGAGGCCCAGATTGTTTTCCGGATCTCAACAAATGAAAGGTAAATAGAAACGTACTCCGATTAACTCGTGATGTTTATTTGCTTTCTTAGAAGGTAATTCTCCGATGAATGGTAAGAAAAAGTCGTGAGGCAATGAAAATCGGTCAGGTGAATGGATTCGAGCGAGAGCGGCGTTTATTTGCGTTAATGACGCGTTGGAATGTGCCAGAGGCACAATACTTCTTCATTCAACTTGAAGAATTCACGGGAAAGTAATGATCATTCAAGAGGGAAGTGATTTTTGTGTTTTTGTATGAACAGAATTAGAAGCAGCGGCGAACACGTAAACTGATAAATTCAATTGCATATTATCGCGGGAGAGATACCTTTTTACTCGATCTTAATAATAGAACAGTGGAGAAACAATAATATCTTGGTGTATCCAAGAAAAGCAATATTTATTATCTGATAAAATAAATATCCGGATAAATATTCTGTTATATGAATCCTAACTAGCTTAGAGTTTACAAATTAGTTGACTACAGCATTTTGAATAAGCTTGCTGAAAACCAATTCCTGATACTCAATTTGTTTCTCTGACTTTAGATTCTAGACATCTGATAAAAATGGAATATAGTTAGAAAAGAGATTAAATATAGCATTGAAATCGCCATAGAATCTTATAGTTGTGCAGACTCTATGCGAAATAATCATTGAAGAAATATTTGGTAATAAGATATCGTCAGAAAAGAAGAAAAATAGGAAATAATAGGTACAATTATATATTGAATATAAATATTGGACATATTTTATGAGATATGTGATATATAATTATATAAATTTGTAACTTACATGAGCATTATCGTATCATTGTCAATACAATTAATCTTTATGTAATTATGAGTACATCACTCAGAATTTAGTCTTCATATTGGCAGTTTAGAAGTACAATCATGTGAGTACATTCAAAAATATTAAATGAAAATCTTCATTCATTTTTAAACTTTTTTTATTTTTATTTTTATTTTATTTTTTTTACATTTTCTTGTTATTTTAGTTATAGATTATCAGAAAATTTCATTGAAATATCGAGATTACGTACGTTTATTCTTAAAGTTTTTCAGAAAGATATCAATGACGATATCATGATTGTAAATTCTTTATAAATCTACTTTACGCGTATCTATAATTTTACAGCATCCGAGTGTAAAGATGACTCTCTCGATAATAATCTCTTAATTGTCGAATTATGCAACGTATCTATCTTGAGAGAGTGGATGAACGCGCACGCCAGCAACAAGATCGCGCAGAGAGACCCTTCATTTCACTTTCTTGCTCAGAAAATCATCAGGAAGAAAGACGATAATCAGTTTAAACTACGTCCGGCATTTATATATCGTGACTCCTTCCTTTGACGTCGTGACCTCTAGGAGAACATTTCATCTTCTGTGCGACAAGGAGAAATGAAACAAAATGTACGATATTGCGCGCGACGATAGCAGTAGAATAAAAACGAGGTGTCAAATCAACGCTAGATTCGTCGACATTAATCAAAGACGACGTGTGGAATGCGTTACGGGACCATTTTTATTGTCGTCGAGCGTCACCCACTTATCTCGTTTTGTTTTGCACGGTACATTAATCGTTAATTATCTTCTCGTATTTGCTATCGAACTCAGCATTCTCTAAATGTTTTTTATATGCAAAACGCTTCTCTAATGGGAGATCTTTTTCTGACTTTTGTTAATTGAACATCTCGATAGTATTCAAATTTGATACAAATTTTTTCAGAAAAATGTGAAATAGAGACGAAACTGTTTGTTGCAGCGATTTATAATTAATTCCCTTTTAATAGAACTCGAAAAGGAATAAGATTTTCTGTTTATATTTTTACTTTGTGTTTTTTTTCTTACATAAGAAGATTCGAATGTTAGGTGAAATTTTTAAAAAAAATTTGGAAATTAATTTATCAAGATTGGTAATCTCAAAAGATTATGTGTACATATATATATCTGGAAAATATGTATATTTTGCACTTTGAATTTTAATCTTATCAATGAAGTGATAAAATCGAGAACAGTTTATAAACAAATAAATCTATTAGAAAAACTTGTTAAAAACAAAAACATGAATTATTCCACAAAAAAGATGCAGGCATTGCAATTATTTACAATGTATCAAGCGCATTATTGTCATAACATCAAGCAAGTATCGAATGTCATGAGTCGTTTATCGCTCGACGTGCGATTATCACTGAAACTCAGGCGACGAATCTTTGAGCAAAGATAAATTTTTGTTAACCCAACGCTTTTACATCAATAAAGATGAAGAAATTACATGCAGGATGTTAGTCAGAAAGTTACTGAAATTAAATAGCTGCTATTTTGCTATTAATGAACAAAATGGAATGAATTAAATATCATTTCGTAAAAGAAATCCATCATTTTTTTCTATTATTTTCTTTGATGTTAAAAAAATATTAAAATATTAATTTTTTTCTGTATCACTACATATACATTATTTCTAATTTTGGTAGACAGATGAATGTCATTATTTATTATATTTACAAAGGAACACTCAATGATTTTTTGTTTCAGGAATTTCCAGCCGTGGATGACCTCGACGAGGCTAGTATCCGAGGAGATCTATCGCGAGCGCGTTACCAGTGACAGTCTGTTTGCGGCGCGAACACATCATCCAGCGAATGCCAACAGTAACAATCCACAACAGCAGCAATCGCAGCAGCAATCGCAACAGCAACAACAATCGGGACAGGAACGGCAAGATATTTCGTCGGCACTGCTCGAGGACGACGTGTTCGAGAACGACGATCTGTTCGGGCCGCCGCCGTTGCCGAGCAAGTCGGACTCGAAGCGAGGAGGCAAGTCGAAGGTCTCGTCGCTCTTCGACGATTCCGATTCTGGCGACGAGCTTTTCTCCGCCGCTAGCTCCGGCTCCAGATCGCAGAAGAGCACAGATGTCCACGTCGCGGTGACGTCGAGCGACAGAGCGAAACTAGCCCCAAAAACTGGCGGTCTGTTCGACGACGACGACGTGGACATATTTGGCGATAGGGACGTTCCGGATGTCGATATCTTTGGAGTGACGTCGAAGCCAACGTCGAGAGACGTGGCTCCGGATGACCTGAGCTCGATAACGTCGAAGAGCAACAAAAGTAAGTAGAGTATAATTCTTCGCTTTATAATTCTTTTGAGCTTCTGAATAAATCATATTTCATTGCGATGATAATTAATTTTCTTATCGTGATCCGATAATACAAGAACATTCATTTTAATTTACGAAGTTTGATTAATTTCAATTTGCGAGAATTGTAAAATGTTATATTTTTATGAAAGAAATAAGAGATTATTTTTTTATTTCAATTTGAAAATATGAAAAATATTATATCATGTTTATCTAATAATTTTATACATTTATATTAATTATTTTATTTATTATATATTTTTATTATATATTTATACGAATGTCATACTTTGTAAAGAATTAAGCGTATCTGATAAAAGAGAAACGTTTTAATCATTAGATAATTCACAAAACACGAGAATGGAGTCGAAAAAGATCAGTCTGTTCGACGACGATGATGATGGTGATTTATTCAGCGTAAAACCGATGAAATCGAAGAACGAGCGTAAGACTAATCTCTTTGAGGACGAGGATGATCTATTCCTGCCGGCCAAGGATCACTCCTTGATAGAAAAAGATGCAGCAGTTGAACCAAAGACTGACATTTCCAAAAACGACTCTAGTCTCGAAAAAGAAAGAAAGAGCAAAAATGAATCAAATTATTTGGACGGGCTATTTTCGAAAAACACGAGACCTCGCAGTCTTTTATTTGAGGATGACGATTACGACGATCTTTTCGGCAAAAAAGATACGACATCGCGCGAAGATGATCGATTGAAATCCAAAAAAGAAGTCAGAAAAGATGTCGCTGAACCTCAAACTCAAAAACTCTTTGAAGAAAATAAAAATTTGGCAGAGTTATCGAGTGACGTCAAAATGGAGTCAAATATCGTCGCGGGGAACGTACATGAGGAGAAAAAAGAGGTTGAAGTTAAGCAAATGCCTTCCAACACCGAGGAGACCGGCACGGCAAAGAAGAACTCTCCACCAAAAACCTTGAGCATCCGAACTATCTCACCGCCATCCGAGGAACAGAATACTCAACAAGTATCTCGAAGATTGGTCTCCGGTAAGATAAAGAATCTAATGGGAAAGATGGGTGATTTGAAGATACTCTCACCAATGGATGCGCCGCCGTTGTGGAGAAAGAGCGAAGATAAGACAGATGAGGACGAGGATGTCGTGGATCGGGATAGTGGAGATCTGGAAACCGGTGGTCACGTTTCGCCTCCAAGCGTGTCAGGTAATTATCGTTTAATTGTCGATAAGAATTTCCTATTGATTTTAAAAGCTCATGCCACTTGAGATTTTATTTGTTACTTATCGGAACGAGGAGATAATTTAAATAAAAATTGTCTTTGCAGAAGGTAGTACGCGAAAGGAATCCTCTTACTCGACAATCTCCACCGCTAGCAATGCGGAAGCGGCGATAAATTTCGATGATTTGTCTCAAGTAGAAACGTTATCTACTGCCGCATCCAAGGTATTTATCAATTTGAAATATATTTATTCATTTAATTAAAAATTATACTTAACATATTTCATAAAAATTTCTACAGAAAGTAGATATTAAAAATTCTTGTAAAATCCATTTAATTTTAAGATATGGCAATGCATTTTTGAAATATTTTAAATAATTCGCATTTTTCCCTTAATTTATAATTCATTCGTTTTCTTGTTAGAGTCGAGTGAGGATTCAAGCAAAGCGTCGTCCTCAGAGCCGGCATGCCCGAAAATCCGCGCTGCGACACAGCGGTATCGATTTCGACACGGTTGACAACGTGGATAATGATAATTCCCAAGAAGAGAGTTATGCTAGCACTTTCTCGTCCACCAAAGATTCATCTGCCGCTCCAGCGATCAGCACCTCCGATCGTTTGACCATCAATGATAATGTTCAGCGCTCGGCAATCGATCCTTCTTCCATAGATGACAAATCCGAGCTGGGTAGCATCAGTAAGGAAAGTTCGATGAGTGTAAACAAGAACACTCTGTTATCGCCATCCACCGATGAGGAGGATTTGTTCGATGTGCCACCAGACTTGCCGGAAGATTCGCAGAAGGAAGACACGTTATTTGGTAGAGCGCCAATACTTTCACCGATTAATGACGGGCAATCTGATAGAACGCCTGTTACTGTTGAGCCTTTAGATATCGCGACCAAGGAGCTCGACAATATTGATAATGTAAATGCGACAAATAATAAAAGTGAAAATAATGAAAGTGAAAATAATGAAAGTGAAAATAAACAAAGTACTAGCGAATTAATGCGATCGGACATTGATACCAAATCGGATACATTAAAAAGTATCAATAAGAAGGATGATAACGAAGTAGATAAAAAACGAAGTGAGGTGACAAGAGAGTCCAGTGAAGAGCCGAGCGATCCTTTACGCGACAGCACCCACGATCCGCTAAAAGATCCTAGTCAATTGTTCGCGTTTGTCACGAAAACACCATCGCCAGAAAAAAGCAAAGGACTGTTATTTTCTGAGCCGGATGACAGTATTTTCTCTAGCGGTTTGGCGAGGAAGTCGAGTGAGCCGAAGAAGGATATTTTAGATCTGTTCGTAGACGACGATACAGGTGATCTATTTTCCGCGGCGCCGTTAAAGAAAACAGTAAAAAAGCCACTGCGGGACACGAAGATCGGTCTCTTCGGCGATGACAATGATGCGCAGAATGGTGAGGACGATAGTCTCTTCGGTAGCGCGTTCAGCAAAGCGAAACTAGATAGTCTGCAATCAAATTCTACTTTAGTCGGACGAAAGAAGAACAATATTTTCGACGACGACGATGATGATGATTCCAGTCTGTTTGTTGAGTTATCCGGCCAGTCGCAGAAATCGGATAGCGTATCATTCTCGGAATCCAAACACGATTCTCAAACCGACTCTCAGGTTAAGAGCTCGAACTTGAAGGATATCTTTGGCAATACGCCTTGTGATGACGACGAAGACGACATCGATCTTTTTGCCACGAAGAAAATTGTTCCTAAGAAAATTATCGCATCGTCTAAGTCCTTGTTCGCATCGGATGACGATGACGACGATGACGGCCATATCTTCGGTAAGCAGCCATCTGCATCGACGGATTTGAAAGCAAAAACGACGATGATTGCAGCAAGTTCAAGATCGGCTATGAAGAAACCGGTCACTAGAGATCTGAAGAAAACGGCTGAGAAGATCGTTGAGGATCCGCTGAGTCTTCTCCAAGACGACTAATTCAGTTTCCTTAAGATAAAATATTTCTGAGATTTTTCAATTAGCCACACGACGCTTAGTCACAAAAGTGTTCGTCTAAGAAAGCGAAGAAAGTACAGAAAAATAAGAGAAGCTTGATCTTTGTTTTGCATTTCTGTAAAAAAATATCATTTTTGAGTATTTGTGTGTGCGTGCACATAATTAAAATTAATTTATTTAACATAATGCAAACATTTAATTTTCTGAATACGATATATATTTAACTCAGAGATAGTTTTATATATCAAAGAGATTTTTAATTGAACAAGCATATATCATGACAAATAATATATACTTTTAAAATATTCTAATCTTCATTTTTTTTCCACTTAATTTTATAAAGGAACAAATAATACTGTAAGAAGTGTTGCGTGTATGTACGTATGCATAGAATGTTTTAAATGAAATAATCGAGTAAACTTTTGTGGCTTAGGCATATATCTATATATATATATATATTTTTTTATTTACATTTTGTTACCTTTCATAGAGTCACCCGTTTTTAATGTAAAGATTATTATACGTCGCTGGAAAACGGGTAGCGTGCAATTCGCGAGAAAAACCTAACGGAAAATTTTATTTCTCGCTCTTGCCTATATATTTATTGTTAACGAGCCAAATCTGTGGATTATCTTTTTCCTTCAGTGTGCCACATCGGAGATATCGTTTGTCCTGCGCTTCGGCCAAGTTGCAATAAATATCCGTCGCAAAAATATTTATCTTTTTTTCCTTTAGCATTTACTCGAAATACAACGAATATATAATTAATTTACACCGATTATTGATTAAGAATACTATTGTAAAAACTGAACTTCACTTGTGCAATAGATGTATATTTTCTGTACCATCGTCTTTTCCATCGTACGTGTAAATTTACCTTATCCTCTTGTGATTTATTTGTATATATTTCTGATGAGTCAAATATGTTAGTATAATAAAATTTATTCCATCAGCTCGTGTAATATGATGTAATCCAATCGCAATCCTTTCAATCTTGAATACCATTACTTTGAGATACTTCAGACTTTTTTAATTATTTTGCAAATTTATAAAAATAAATAGAATGTAAGATACCGTAAAGTGAAGCAATAATTTTAACTGGAAAAAAAAGAGTAATTGTATACTATATATGCATGGATATAGACAAAATTATATTTATTGGACACATGTTTTCGATAAAGATATATTTTGTTAATATATATTTCGTAAGGAATGAAACACGCTAGTGTAAATTACGTTTATGTGCGCTATCGCACAAGAGATACTATGATCATTTTTACTCAATCTTAATAACAGAGCTAAGGAGAAATAATGAAATCATATCTCGATGTAAAGTTAAGAAAAGCTGCATTTAGTACAAGCGTCCAGGTAAATGTTCTGTGAATCCTAACTAACTTAAAAATTGTTACAAATCGATTGGTCACAGCATTGTAGATTAAATTTGTTAAAATCCATTTCCTGATATCGAATTTGCTATTCTGGTAAACAGGAAGTTGAGGGTCATCTGAGAAGAAATGAAATACAGTTGAATAGTGAAGGCAATGTATCCTAAAAGGACCTCCAATAATTTTGGAACACTTTTTATAGATCTTAATCCAACACGTTTCTTCTTTTTACTTCTACATAAATTATTATATTATTATATTACAAATTAAAAAATGAAAGAAATAATTATATATAATTATATATAATTATATATAATTATATATAAAAATTTGTATAAATGTGAGTTAGACACACGCTTTACTTTTTCAAGGCCGGTATATACATTTACTATTAAAATTTACGAGAAGCAATAGAATCATAGAGAATATGAAATAACATTTTATCGAAAATTAAATATTATGCACTGTCAAAAATTATTTTTAAGAGTTAAATTTATAGTTACAGATAGATTTTTATAATAATTGTAATTTCTTACTGATTTAAATTAATAATGTAAAAGAATTTTATATATATAAAATTGTATATCATATAAAACTATATATGTATATTTCACATTATTAGTCTCTAAGCACTTTATGCTGTGTTTTCAGTTATCTATGTCATTTTATTTAATTTGATTTTAATTAAATATCATAATATTTAATATTTATAAAATAATTATTATTTTACATTTGCACACTTTATTTCAAAAAATTTTTCGCAAACTTATTATTTTTCGCAAACACATTATTACTTACACGATGTTAACAAAATCTGCAGAAATTAAATTGTGTTGCCTAAAGACATCAATTGCTATCAACACTATTTTCTCTTTTTTCATAGAAATTATTATATAATCATAGTTTTCAATCATTCAATCTGCGTTAATTACAGCTTTGTATCTAACACAGGCTATAAAAGCATTAGCTGCATATTATAAATTCATAGTTTTGTTCAGAAATTTGTTCTGTCAGTAGTTATTGCTCGATTCAATCAGTAAGAAAATACAAATATAGTAAAAATTATAATCGCAAATTTAATTCTCAAAAATACTTTTTACAATACTGCATAATATTTAGTTATTGATAAATTTTTTTTATCCTAACAAAAATACAGAATATAAGCGTTTTATGAATAATATTATCGTTATAAGAGTAATATAATAATTGTTACACCTACAGAAAAAGTTTCTGGATCTAATGCTGTTACTCTTCGAACTAGCATAAAATAGGATCGACATAGGGCCAATCATATTTATTATAAAGAACAGAATATTTTAGTCTTAATTGAAATATTCTTAAAACTAGAATAAAATGATCTTGATGCTATAATAAATAGTAGCACAATCTTACACCAAATACTGGAATTTATAATAAAAATTTAAGTTTTTTAATAAAAGTCTTAATTGTGCTTAACTGTTAACAGCGCCGAGTCTCATTTACCTTATTTTTTTCCATTATATTTATAACAGTTTAAGTACTTGCCACAAGGTTTTCAAAATACGAAAGTATTGAATGATTAGAAACATAGTCGCAGTAACAATATATATGTGAATTATTAATGGAAATAGCAATTATAATTAACACAATTTCCTTCTAATCCTCACTTTTTTATGTCAATCAGAACGCACGTTTCGAACGCTCGCGCCATTTGTTTTTTAATATTATATATTTTAATATAAAATATTTACATTACATTACATACTATATAACCTTGCCGCTAAAATCTCATATATAATTACTAATATTAACTAATGTTATTCTAAATTTTTATTTCCAAAATTTAATATTTATTTCTGTTTCTAATATTTCCTATATTGTGCGCAAAGCTTAACGAAAGATGTACACCTTATATTTAATTTTGTTATAGATGTTGAAATCTTTATGTTTGAGATAATGATATAATAGATACAAAAGTCTTGGTACTTTATTTACAATTGACATTGTGTACACGCGCAGCGTGTTATCATCGTTATCAGTCATCGATGCTCGCGCGGGCAGATAGTGTTAGCGCTCTGCGTATCTTTATTTTCTTTTCGAAACGAAATCTACGACGAATTCTAAATGACATATGTAGAACGTCGATGTATCTTAACAATAAACATTGATAACTCGCACTGACTTTGTTGGATTCATATATATTAAAAGACGACTTGTTTTATTGAATATTTCGGGCAGAAATGACTCCTATTCATTTGGATCGGCGTTTATTTTTTTAAAACGTAGTAATAATTTATAACTTTTTATAATTGATAATCTCCCCGATGAATACTGCCTTAATGTGACAAAGGAGCTGCGTATCTCGAAAGATTTTATTTAATGATAATCTGATCTGAATATTTCTAACGTTGAGCATTTTGAAATTTTCACAGATTTAAATATAATTTTGCATATTATTTTGTAATATGTATGATAATTAATTTATCGTAACAAATAAAATACATAAGATATAATCCATCTATCTATCTGAATAGAATAAATTGTAACGTTAAATAAATTGTAACGAGAGCGTTTGCTTTGGATATTCATTCGCTATAAATATATTATCTTCATTATTTATTATACGCCAAAGGAAGATAAAACAATGCTTACAACGCGTGAGTGCGTAAAACGAACGAATCCTGAATGAAAAATAGCAAATGTATGATGCAGGCAATTTAAAAGTTATTTTAAATGTAATAATTATATTATTTAATGTTCCATTATTGAAAGATGAAAATTAAATATTGTTTGTAATATAAGTAAATATTAAATACCGAGTATGTTTTAATATAGAAGATGATCGAAAATTTTTTAATACTAATAAATACTATTAATGTAAGATTTTTGCAGAAGTTTATTAATATATAAAATTCTTATAATTCATAACAAATATTCAGACAAATTTGTGTTTATTCTTAAAAAAAGATTAACGCAACTTTTTAAGATAGATTTATAATGTTTGTCAAAACAATTTCTACATTAAAATATACAAATATAAAGAGTTGCAGATAGATATATCGGAATCAAATTGAAAACTAGATAAATATCAAAAATAAATAGATAACACATAACTATTGAAATTGTTACAACAAAATTTATTTAAAAATATTAAAAAATTTAAATAATACATCTAGATATAGTTTTGTAACATAGTTTTAAATTTAAATAATACATCTAGTCATATAATTTTGTAACATACTTTTAAATTTTACAATATAGTATTGTTCAGTAGTAGTAGTGCTATTGAGAATTTATAATATTTTAGATTAATTATTATATGTCATTATTTTCTTACTGCTTACATTGTAATTGTCTTTTCATGGAGTACGGCGATCAATATCATAAAGATCAGATGAGCATAAGATCATTACGATATTTTATGTTTATTATATATTATATATATTATATATTGTATATAAAAACATTAGTAATTTCTAATAATATATTAATAATATATTATTATTAATAATAATAATTATTATTAATAATACATTGGCTATATTAATAATACATATTAGAACCCGATACATATTTCAAAAATTTCTAACAATGTTAGATTGTTTTCATCTGTGAGATCGATCATTGAACACGACAAAGGGACAGCTACAAAGTAAAAATTGGAAAAATAATAAGCGTGAATACCAATAAATTTCTATTTTACGCATAAAATTACAAAGATCTAGACTACATTTTAATATTGAAAATCGTTATTGTACATATTAAATTTATGACGGTTTTTTATTTCCGGCAATGAATCTAAGGGCAATTTAAAATAGCTCCGGTTTAATATCACGCAGGTTTATTCGATTGATTAAAGTAAATACTATGAATAATAAATTACTTGTACGTATTAATATAAGATTTTTTGTGCTTCTCGATTTCAGATGAGCGCTGGTATAGTTTGTATTGCGCGTTCCAAAATAAGGAGTTATCTAGATTTTTATGTGTCCATTCCTTTATCTACGAAATTAATATGAGCACATGTTAAATACGTATATATATTTTTTAAAATCATGAAATTTAGAAGAATTATAATATGAAGCATTATAATATGAAGTGTAATATTAAATAGCTATGTTATATCTGTATTAAATTTGTTTACTTTTACAGAATATCCGATGATTATTGCAAAGTTCTTTTGTACAAGTAGAGATTACATTAACAATAGGAGTAGGAATATCTTAAATATTTTGCAAGTTCCACAATTAAAAAGAACGATGTTAATAAACAAATATCTACAAAAAAGTGCGCTTTTGCATTCGACATATTTATAATTGCTAAGAATGTGACGAGATGTAAAAGATATGTTTTTTACAAGATGTGTTCTCATATCAAACAATTTACTATTTTTATATAGAAAAAAACATTTTGCATGCTTAACCGCTGCAAAGGTGCATGTTAAGGTAATGCTGGATTGTAACTTAGACATATACTTTATGAGAAATATTTATTAATTATATAACTATATTTTATTAATTTATTTGTAATTTTGAAAAAAAAAACGCGAAGTAATATAGAATCTTTTTGCTCAGTTTTATTTACTCGCAAACAAATTTGTGAAATCATGTGTCAATCATCACATATAATAATATATGTGATATAATATGATATATTAAAATAATTATCTGTATATTACAATTAGAGTTACACTAACTGGAAAGCATTGACGATGTATTGTCTTTTTATAAATAGAATAATTTTAACTTTGTATAAATATATTGTCATAAATAATGATAAATTTATAATACACACATACGTTTATTGAAAATAAGTGGTTTTATCAATCTTTATAAGATATCTTATAAGATAAATTTAAATACAGTATCATGCCTTTATATTTATGCAATTTATATAATTTGTCACTTTTATTTTGTTACCAATATTAAATTTAAACCTTTGTGATGTATTAAATTTACGATATATTAAATCTAATAAAAAAAAGATAGAAATCGATAAAAAGGAATGTAGCAAACAAGAAATATTATATTTCTCAACTTACCTCAACAAGCATTGACAAAGAATAAACAGAATTTATGAAATTAATTAATATTGCAGGCATACTAATTTCCCTAGAAAAAAAAGTAATACTTAAATTATATAATAAAATAACATAACAAATATTTGTGACTATATACAAACGAAAGATGTTTATGAAAGTGTGTTTTTACTTGGGTTTGCCAAATGGTGTGAAATCGGTTAATATGAAATCAACATGGTAATTATTTGCATATCTCTGAACGATATAATAATATGCAGTAATTTGGTTTTTAATAATAGAGGTCATTTTTGTATTATCTGTATCATTACGAATATATTCGTAATGATTTCTTAATCTTTTTAGCTTATCAGAGAGAACGAGAAATTTAGAATATGAATTTGAGCAAATGAGAAATTCCAATATTTCTGAATTTTTGGTTTCTAATATTTCATCTAAATTATTAATTACTTTTCTAAAAAGAGTCTTAGATCTCGATATACCATTACAATATGCCCATTTTCTTCCCCATAATAACAATTTATTGTTCCTGAAATTTCATAAAATAAATATGATTTATATTCTTATGCGGAAAAAATATTCGAAGATAATAAGACTACAGCATACAGATTCGTGAAAAATTAAATAATTAAAATACATATTATTTTTTTATAAAGTAATTTTTTTAACGTATAGTTTCAAGGTATGACTAATTAGAAGCTTTGATTAAAAAGTTACTGTATTGTACGTGCAATGGTATCACATTGCAAATTTTTCACAATCACCGAAATTACTAAACAAATGTTGTCGCTGTTTAATGTAAACTGCATTACTACTGTAAATTACTGATGTAGTATTAATAATTGCAAGTGATATGTAGACAGATTTTTAAATGACATTTGTGATTTGTTACATTTTAAATCCTTATATTTAAAAAAATTATTTTAAAAAAATGACATGAATTTTTATTATTATTTTTCTTGAATTTTTATGCTGCAATTATTATTCACGAATTCGTTATTTTTTTATATTTTTATTTAAAAATTTGCCAAGCATTGTAGATATACTATAAAAATATGGCAAGAAAAAAACTAATATTTACGTTTGATGTGATCTTAAATGCCGTTGCAATATAATTTTAGCCGCTTCTTTGCATTTTTTGTCACCGAGAATACAGGCCCATCTTATGGCTTCTTGCCTTAAACATTTAATATGATCGTCTTCGTTAGGATTTTCCTCGTATTCAATTTTTTGAAGAAGTGAGTTGAATAATTTCAGCAATTGCATCTAAATTTTGTAAAGAAAATAAATTGTGTATTAATCTTTTATTCAAAGAAATTTAATCTGAATTATAGAAACATAGAAACTTATGTATTATTTAGAGGGATTATTTATTTCGAAAGATATTTAAATACAAAACAAAATTAATGCTTCGAATATATCAATATAAAAATTACTGAAATCTTTTTTACCTTAAAATTTTCGGTATTTTCGAGAAAAGGTATGACATATGACATGCGTTCAATAGCTTTAAACATGGGATACCATGCTATATAATCTGTTTCTTGTGACAGGTAACTTGTAAGTTCAACAAATACGGAATAATGCAGTTTGTTTGTCGTTACGAAATGAAAGGCATCATCGATGATTTGAGCACGATTTAGGACATGAATATTTGTATAATTCTCGGAATTAAGATAACATGAGATATTGAGCCACTCATCCTTCTTATAGTTTACACGATAATATCCTGTTATGCGATAAAAAAATTTTATAATTAAACAGTTTTGATATTAAATTAAAAATAAATTATTTTTCAAAGAAATAAGAAGAAAGGGGTAAAAATATTTGAATGCACAAGAATTCGGTACACTTTAATACAAATATAGGAAAGAATTGAATACGAAATCTTTATGTAAGCTTTTCATGCTACATTAACGATTATTAAATTTTCTGCAAACATACGGTTACTTATTTACGTTTTATTATATGGAAAGTACTTATTTCTGACGTTTTTATTTTATGTCGCTGTACTGGTATCTTTATATAGGATTTTTATACAAAAAATTATTAGAATAGAAAACTTCCGAACATAGTTTCTCAGTTAAATATGTCAACTGAATCATTCTCAATTTTTGTAAAGTCATAATTTTACGATTTGCATCGCTTAATGAATTAAGCTGCAACATAAGTTAAACTTCACGTGTAAATATTTTTTAATTTTGCAAATTATTTTCTATTGTTAGTATATAATATAAATTAATTCTTATTAATTCTAATTAATATAATATAAAAGATTTATAAAATATGGTATTCAATACAAGCCTATGTTTGTATTAACAGATCGATATTTATTACACTTGCATTCAATCCTTTTTATTTCGGTTTTTTGTTGTTTTCTTATTCTCTGGTATGACAAAAATACACTTATGTAATAAATTATCTTGTATTACAAAAAATGAAAAATATACAGATGATTATGAAAAAACTAATATAACATTGATATTTATATCAAATATTTTGCCGATCATTTAATTGACAATCCACTAACAATGTACCAAATTCTTTGATAAATTAATATTGATTTTTATTTATTTATTTTTATTTTTTATTTATTACACAAAGAATGTTAAATTTTTGTCAATTTTTGTCAAAATAACGTGATCAAATATTTAAATGAGATTGTTAAATAGAATATAATAAGTTAAATAATTAATTCGTCAAACAAAAATGAATTATTAATAGATTAAAATCTTCGAAGGCTTAGACAAATACAAGGCATTTCGTAATTAATATGACATTTCAGAGATATTTTTATAATACTTCAATTTCAGAGTTGCATATATCCGGATTAAAAGAGATGATTGAAAAGTGAAGTAAGAAGCCTTCTGTTTCTTATAGTTAGTTTCTTATAGTTAAATAATATAGGAGATTGTATAGCAGAATTAAATAGTGTTTCATTAAATAGTTTCATTAAATAGTGTTTAACATGAACAGCCATATTTAGCAAAAGATTCGATCGTTATTTACCAGTTTGTTGGCGATTGACTATTATCCATTGACATTTTAACTCCTGTGTTACTTGAGAGATATGCTCCAATTCAACCTCTACCCAATTTAACGCTAAAGTATCTCGGAAATTAATATTCGGTGAGACAGTATATGTCAATGGTATTGTCCATTTCTCGAAATTTTTTATTGAAATTGTTTTCATTTCATTAAGATAATTTACTGTAACATCAAGAACAGGATATCGTTTTTCTTTTATCCAAGGATCCATTATATCTTTTACATTAATTTCTCTGGAACCCTTTGTTTGTAACTCATATATAGATTGAATATCAGTCCAAAAATCGTCCACATTACTTGTCCTTATGAAATTAATAATAATAAATTCTGTTAATTATATTTTATAGTATATTTAATTTAAAGTAAAATAGGAAAATTTAATTTATAGTAAAATATTCAAATTTATATAATTTTTATAATTATCAGAAATGGATAATGGGAAATACATCAAGTCAAGCTTACGTGCAGCTTGTAGGAAACAGCCGCGGAATATACTTTATGGCTTTATTGGTTAAACACTATTTGTGTTTCTATTGTATTTATTTTATTTCTATTGTATTTATTTATTAACATTACTAAGAATATAATCAAATTTTTTCTGAAATCTTATAATCTCAGATACTTGATGCCGGCTCAGTTAACACGAGACAATACCAGTGTTTCTTGATAATTATATTAAATTTTTCTGTCGAAATTATGAATTGTCATCTTTTGAATTAAAAATTTAAATGTTTTGTTTAGCGAATATTATGTATACTTAGGCTTCTTTTTTCTAGGCAGCTTTTTTAAAATTAATAATTTTCTGTTTATGATAATACAAATTTCTATAATAAATCTTTTTACAATAAAAATATAAAATTACTATTATTATTACCTGTACCTGATGTGTCTGTATATCATCGAATCAAAAAGGAAAGAAACTATTAATTTAAAAAGAAAGAGAAGATAGAAACAGAAAGAAAAATAGAAGTCACGATATGTACTCACTGTCTTTTTAAATATGTAATAATGCCCTTCTGAAAAATTTCATTACCCAGAGCATGATGCATCATGCGCAATATAGAAGGCGCTGTAACAGATGAGCGTTGTAAATATAGTCATCAGGTTTATCAAAGTTTCGAAGAATAGACATCTGATAAAACATAAATTAATTAAAAATCTGAATGTTTTTTTATTGTATTAATATCTTAAATATCTTTTTAGCTTCCTCAGAATTTTTTCTGAGAATAAATATTGAAAAATAAGCAAATTTAATTTTAAAAACAGTTCTTAAAACTTATTTCATACGTCTTAATTGTCTTCATTTTATTTATTCATTTATTTATTCGATATTGCATACCTTTCATGTAATAAGCAAACGAGAAGAGAGAATTTATTTCAGAAACACTGTTAATTTCCGATTGAACAGAATTCATAATCTCTGGGTCATCTAAACGCAGAGATTCTTGTTGAATCTGGACCACGAATAAATCCACCATACGAATATCTGGCCAAATCTATGATTAAAGATATAATAGACAATTATATAATTAACAGTTCTATTGTTCTTAGATGAATCGATATTTGAAATACAACTAAATTAGTTAAAAAGGTAATAAAGGATTTCTAAAGTCACATGAATACAATGAAATTCTTTGTTCTTTAAGTAATATCAAAAATAATCAAAGAAATGAAAAGTAATGAAAGAATGGTAACTTTTTCTATTTCAAGTGGAATGTATATTCGATTTCTTAGCGTAGTATTAACACTAATATGAAAAAACTTAATAAACTTAATGAACTAATATGAAAAAAACCTTATTGATTATATACACTCCAAGTAATGTAGCAATACCCTCATGTAACCACATGTAAGACCACCATGATGAACTAATCTTAGTAAACAGTTGACCAACCATTTTACGTCCTATTAAACGCGATATCTCTATTTTGCGCGCAATGGGATCTACTTCTTCATTGTAAATAGTATCTTCTTCTCTGAAAAACAGTTTTTAAATCACGTTGTTATATGCCTAATTCATATTATGTGCACACTTTACCACTTTCCATTACAAATAACATTGTCAATTACATATAATATTGATTAACTTTTTCTCTTTTGTAACTATTTTATTATAAATTTAGGAATTTATTTTTTAAGTACATATACTACCTATAAAATACGAAGTCGAATTTATCCATTCCATCATCTTTCAAACCTGGGATTATATAATGATGTACTGATAAAGGTTGTTCTCGTGACCAAACGTATTCAATGATATTTTTAACATTTTTAATTAATTCAAAATCATAAAGTTTATTTTCTATCTCTTGACACCTGCACCATAATTCTATGTGCGATGACAACAAACGACAATAGTCATTCCCGTCGAATAGAACAATTGCTATGTGATAAGTTGATATTTCTGGAGTTGTTTGAAAGCGTGTAATTACTTTCGATACATTAGTAAGTATACGATTAGAAACTATATTTGAATGAACATGATAATGTTCGGAATGTTTTATAGTAATCGTGAATTTAGCCTTCAGTCCTGCTTCGTCCCAACATGGAAATATATGTCGTGCTCCTGTCGCCAAGTTATTTGCTATGATAAGCCATCTAACATGTTTAATTAATGTTATTAGTTCATTCATTATTTCATTCATTATAGTTTATTCATTATATAGAATATAATAAATCTTTAATTTGTATTGGTATTGGAAATTAATACAAATCTGGGAAGAGAACAAATATATTTTAATAGGAACGGTCTTTTCTTCAGGTTTTTATTCGTTACACATGCCTTTTCTTTCTACACTGAAAGAAAACTATATAATTTTGACAACTATAATTTTATATTTTGAAATTTTAGTTTTTGCAACCAGTTTTACAAAATAACAAGAATCAAAATAGAATTGAATATTATAAAAATATAACAATATAACAATGTAACAATATAAAAATATAAAAACATAAAAATAGAAGTAAACTGTCAATTGATAATTAAATAACCACTCAACGATAATTAAATAGACAGACCTCATACAAATAAGATATGTTATATTTTTCTGATCTAATCAAATATATTTCATAAATAAGCATAATGTCTGAAAATTATTCAGACATGTTTGTGTAAAGTACATTTTGGCAACTACAACACATTAGTCTATTTAACAATTTATTATAAATTTATTTATTATAATTAGTATTACCACATTTTTTAGTTATAATATTACTTATTAGTTGCTCTTATTACAACATTATAATTAATTATAATAATTATAATAATTAAGATATTATTTATTTTTATACTTTAAGTTATCAGTAGGTCTTTTCTTCATGGATGTATTACATCCATGAATCTCATAATATTTGTAATAAAACAAATACCATAAGATTAGCAGCAACAAATGCACTCAACACATATATAATACTAATGTAGTAAATTTATTTAACAATGCTTCATTTTTAAGAAATGAAAAACATTGTAATTTATCGTTTTCGTAATTTTTTGTAAAATATTTACATTATCTATCCATATTTTGAAACATAACCGAAATTATTATGATCTTTAAAATTTTATAAATATTATAATTTTTATGCTATTTGTTATGCTTTTTATATATTTAACAATTTTTTGTTACACATTATGCAATGTATGTATAAATTTAATAAGAAGCTAATCAAGTAATTATCATTATGTAGTAATTTGATAATGTAAGAAGTATGTTTATACTTACTTTTTATCCTTATTTGCATTCGTATGTGGAATCTTGATAAAACCTCCGACGTCATTAGTGATGGTACCCTTAAATGTTAGGCTCAAAGTATAATTATTAGGAGGAAAATAACAGAAACAAAAATTCAATTCGACAATTTCCAATTCATGGATATATGAAATATTAAATATTGTATATTTGCCACAAGCATAAATTAACATGGCTTCAGTTATATTTAAATTTACAGCATGCAAACGTATGTTTTGTGTGATTTTGTTAATAATAATATTGATTTCACATTTTCCATAGAATATATCTTTTTCTGTATCTAATTCTAGCTCAATATTATATTCTTTTGGTATTACATATTCAGATAAACGAAAATTGGCTACATGTCCGTTATTTACAGTGTAGAACGGCGTGTCTTTATTTCCATTATGTGAAAAAGCCACAGGAAAGGTAAGTATTAGATTTCCATATAATAACAGTTTTATCAATTCCATGATATATATCTAAACAGATTTTTGATATATGTGTATATTCTTGATAAGAAAAAATAAAATTATAATCTCTTAATAAATTAGAAAACAAACATTCAATAATTTTTATCGTAAGATTTACAATATTGAAAAAAAAAATATTTCTCTATTTCTGTGAAGATTTCTTAATTATTATAAACAATATTAAATATTTCTAATGTTCAAAAACCAATCGAATTATAATTGAAAGTTTTCATTGTGATATGTTCTTTTGGTGTAAATTATAATTTTAAAGAAAATATTTCTTAAAACTATTTTTGTATTTTACAAGTCTATCTGCGTTTATCATGTATCAATGAATAATATAGTTTTTTTTCAAATTATTTGTCATTAGATATATAAAATAATTTATAACAGTTTATTACAAATAGGCACTTACCGTTATGTAGTCGATGATGGATTTATACTCCTAGGATTACGATCTTTCTGCTTCGACAGTTCGCTACAAAATCATAAATTTATCAACAAACATCAATATTATATAAGGAATCATAATAATAAGGGTAAAGTAAAATTGCTTTCTTCTTATTGTTTTTAAGCATCATGATGAATTGGTCATAAATATTATGACATAATTAATTTCTACAATTTATTATTGTTTTTTTCAGACAGATATAAGTTTTTGCGCGATGTATATTTACTGTAGACTAATATTTTTTGTGCTAAAACTTAATTATCTAATGCATTTTATTTTGTACACACACACACACACACACACACACACACACACACACACACACACACACACAATAATACTAATAAATATATTAAGATATTAATAATTTGATAGCATATATATATAGTAATATTTAACTTAAATATCTTATTTTTTTATCATCTGAATGTTTAGTAATTAATTAATACATTTCTTTAAACATTTCCAAACGGAAATATTATTCGAACATTCTATTATGCAGACATTTCAATAATAAGAAAACATATTTGACCTAACAATTAAATCATAATAATCAACAAATTATCTTGTTATACAAAATATTTATTATCGAATTCCCATTACAGATTATAGTGCAAGAGCAGACAGCGAGAATTGTAGATTTCGAATTAAATATTGAAACCGACATATATCAAATAACAATATTTTAATGTTTCATGTCTTAAACAATTAGATGTAATTAGCAACACGATTTGATAATTAGATAAGATAAAAACTATATATCTTACTTCTATTCAAATACTTCTATTCAAAAAATAATTCATCTCTCTTTGATCTCATCTTAACAATTTTATCGAATATTCCTGTTAGCATTATAGACAAAATATTTTGCATATGATATAAAGAAAATGATAATGAAATATAATTAGTTCAAATGCAATTTGAAAATTCTTTCCGCAATAGGCAGTAATAAAAATAGCACCAGAAGACGAATTACGGATGTAATAACGTAACTATCGTTGATGAGAATAATACAAGTTTAAATTTTCAATGAAACGATACATATCCAAATGCGACGCAAAAAGAACAATTAAAATGAATAGTAATAAATGTTGCATATATCATTTTGTCCTTGAAAAGTAAGAGCAGACATATTATATATATTAAATATTAAATATTAGGCATATCTTTATATTGTTATAAGAATATTCACATTTAATACATGCGTTCTATTAGTAATATTATATTACATTTTTAATACATGTGTTTAATATATTGATTTAACATTCCGAATCATTGTGTTGTAAATATTAAGAGCATATTTTAATTTAATAATATACACACTAAAGTCCTTTAATTTATATTTATTGTCTTTTTGATATATATAAATTTAATAAATTTTAGAAAAATTGAGCGTTTCTGAGTGCTAATGACTGATTTTGAATATGGAATTTCTTGAATAATTAAAAACAATTTTATTTTAAGTATAATAATAAAATAATATACATAATTAAAATATAACATCATATTAGCTATTTTGAAACAGTTTTTTTCTTTTTATACATTTTACTCACTGGCTTGCAAGTTCAATTCAAGATAAATAAAGGATAAAGCAGATTTCGAAATAGATGTTGAAAGTAAATCATATATCAAGTTACAACTATCTTCTTTCTCAGATCATGATATTAAATGAAGAAAGATATATCCATAACAAGAAATCGTTTCTTCTTCATACATCTTGCATATGGATATATTAATATTATAATATCGCAATCATAATCTTAATTTATATAAAATAATTAATTTATATTAAAATGATTGATTTTATTAATCATTTTAAAAAGACTCATTATAACATTATATTGAATTGCAGAAGGTATAGCTAATAGAAGGTATAGCTTAAGTATACCTAATCTTAATAGTATTAAATCTAAATTAGGTAAACCTAATCTTAATATTATTTAATTTAATTTTAGAATTACTAACAGCACTTTAGTTGTCATACTTAAGTTTTTCCGAAAATTGATGTATTATGAATGAATTATCGTAATAGAAATGGACGCATTTTTATAATAAATTGACATTTAAAAAAATAATTTGTCTTATCAATTCTTGTCTTATCTCTTCATATAATATATTAGACAGTATATTTTAAAATGGAACAAGAGTTAATTTAATTTTCCACATCCTCTCCGCTTTCCAATCATCTACTTGGTCAATAAACAGAGTGAATATATCAATTTTCAAATAATATATTATATATTATAGGATTTAATATTTGAATTAATTTTTACAATTGCACTAGGATTTAATATTTGAATTAATTTTTACAATTGCACTCGGTTGCACTACAATTGCATATTATTGCACTTATCTTATTCCAATATTCCAATATATTATAACATGTCCTAGGCGATAGTATATTATATACTATAATATAATATATTATAATTTTTTCATTAAACTAAGGTAAAAGTTACAACGGAAATATTTAACACATTTCTTTAATTATAGTTAAGAAAATTTTGAACATCTTTATTATTAAATTGTGCTTTAACAAAATGTTAAAATTGAATTTGACTAGATATTTCTCATTTTAAGAAATTCATTGAAAAATCTCAAGAAATTCTCTTAAGAAATTCATTGAAAAATCTCAAATAAAGTCCAGCAATTTTCGATGATTGATCATATCACGATGGCTTGTCGTCATTCTTTTAAACATGACGATATTTACTTTTACTATATATGAGCACGACATTATATTAAGATATTGTTGGTAGAATAAAAAAACAGTTATTTCTAAGATATTTTTTAAGACCAAAATAATTTAATATGTTACATCCATCGTAATGGAAATGTAATTCAATATTTAAGAGGAATCAACAATTTTAATCTAATGATATAGCAAAATATATGAATATATGAATTAGAATTGGTTTCAATTAATAGTAAATAAAACAGTAATAAAACAGTAATAAAACAGTATGTTAAAAAGATACTCGAATATAAATTGATTGTTGTTGATTTTTTTTGTAATGCTGATGAGTTTTAATTTTATAAAGAAATAAGTAATGTTGTAAGATGCAACAGTTTGTATTTGTGTGTATGCATAGAATGTTTCAAATAAAACACAATTGAGTAAACTTTTGTGGCTTAGGCATATATCTATATATTTTTTTTATTTATATTTTGTTAGCTTTCATAGAGTTAGCTGTTTTTAATGTAAAGATTATTGTTCGCTGTAGAACGAGTAGCGTGTAAATCGTAAG